AGGACTAATTTTTCAAAAATCTTCAGTAAGTAAACAAACAGTAATTGAAGGAACATGTCACACGAATTGTAAAAAGATCAGGCCTCCAAAATAAAAAACAAAAACAAACTACACACAGAGACAAAAATTCAGGAAAAAAACCCTCTCCGTTCCCCCAAAGCCTTGTTTTTGGGTTCACTGCCCCCAAAATTAGATTATGGAATATTCTATTTCAAAATGAGGTATACAGTGTTTGAGACAATGTGTTCATGTGCAAGAGCAAGATGGATTTTTGCCTGTAAGGGGGTACTGCCATTGTCAGAAGAGAAGAAAGAAGGTTTGGGTTTCTTCTTTGTTTGCAGACTTCCTCTTATTTATATAGTTGGGGGATCTGTTTCTGTCCTCTTGATTAGATTTCAAATGACTGGGAGAATGTACAGAGCAACACAAAGGAGTTGAAAATATAGTTATTTGAAAGGAAAGATTCTAAGTTGGATTCAGAAAACAGAAGTATAGTTTAACTGCATTAGTTGATCTTCATAACCTCCATATAAATAATAATCTAATTGCTTCTGATGCTTTGTTGCAACCTACTCCCTGCATTCCCACAAAGCTATCCAAATTGGTGGCCATAACTACTTCTTCATACTTCTATTTCTACAAGAGCCTCTACTCCTGCTCCATATGCTGGTATAAAAGCCTTGTTTGTCAGTGATCATTTATGAACACTGTGTGGGACGCAAATCATACTTACACTGGTACACAAGTCAGAGCCAGTAAAGGTTGTCAAAATCACAGGAATTACTACAAACTACCAGTACCAACAAGTCCAAAAGAGAAAAGGCTGGGTGTTCACAGTGTCCACCTTAAGTAATTCCTTGAACATACAAAACTCCTCTAGCTTTGTGCCTGCACTTCCATATTATGGCAGTGCAATAGATGAATATATCAGCTAAGCTTGCTTATGTTTTAACGCTCATGGTTTAGACAGCTTTTATCATAATTAAATCATTAGAAGGAAATCAAAATATTTATCAATGGAAGAATAATTTGCTAAGCTATGTCCCCAATGATCCAAATAATTTCTGGTGTAATAGAACAGTTAATTCTGTACACTTCTGCTAAGTGGTTGTTGTTGTTAATTTATATTAAGCCTAGTCCCAATTTTGGGACTCAAGACAGCTTACAGCATTAAATCCTGAGTAGAAAAATATAAAAGTTTAAAATATACTTAAATTGAATAGAATATTAAAAGTGTAAATTTAAAGCAACAATGTCAACAATATAAAAAGCAGAGCTACTCCAATCCCATCTCTCTGGTCCAGACTACCACCAATGCCCTGCCACAACTGAAAAGTTTTTGCTTTCCTTTGAAAATATAACAAGAAGGGTGCCAGTGTCACCATCTTGGGTCAGCCACTGCAAGGCCCTCTCCTGTATTCTCACCAAGTGCTGCTGTGAAGGAGGTGGGACCAAGAAAGGGCCTTCCCCAAAAATCTTAGGGTTGGATATATTCACAGGGGAGATTACATCCTCTGAAATAGCCTGGCCCCAAGCCTTATACGATTTCATAGATCATAAAGAATTCCTTGAATTGGGTCTGGAAAAAGACTGGGAGCAAGTAAAACTATTTCAGCAAAACAGTTGTATCCTGCCATTAGCCAGCCCAATCTGCAATCTGGCAGAAGCTTTCCAAAACAGCTGAAGTTTCCTTACACTCTTCAGAAGCAGCCTCGTGTAGAGTACTTTACAGCAATCCAAACAGGATGTAACTAAGGCATGTGTCACTGTGGCCAAATCAGGCATCTCCAGGAATGGGAACAGCTGGTACACTTATTTTAACTATGCAAATATACTCCTGGCCACCACCAAAAGCTGGGCATCCATGCTCGGTGCTGAATCCAGAAGTACACCGAAGCTGTGGACCTGTGTCTTCGGGGATGGGGGTGCGGGGGGTGGTATAACCTCATCCAGTGCAGGCTGAATCCCTATTCTTTAATCTACCTTCCAACTTATTAGGAGCACTTCTGTCTTGCCTGGATTAAGCTTCAATTTGTTGGCCCTCATCCAGTCTTTTACACTGATTTAGCACTGAAACAGCTTCTGCGGAATGAGATGGAAAGAAGAAAGAAGAAAGAGAGTTGTGTGTCATTAGCATACTGGTGACACAAAACCTCAGAACTCCAGACAATTTCCTCCAATGGCTTCACATGTATGTTAAATAGCATGGGGGACAGGGAAAAAAAAAACTCCACAGAGTCAAACAGGAGTCCCCCAGTACCACTTACTGGGTTCACCTATCCAGGAAGAAATGGAGCCATTGGAAGACAATGCCTCTATTTCCCATCCCAGTGAGACAGTCAAGAAATACCATGGTCAATGATATTGATGGCCACTGAGAGGTCCAGATGAACCAACAGGGACATATGCACACACCCTAGTTTCTAGGCATAGATCATCCATCAAGGTGACCAGAGCTGTTTCCAGCCTTTAACCAGGTCTGAAGCCAAATTGAAATGGATGTAAATATTCCATGTCATCAAGGACTTCCTGGAGATAGGAGGCCACTGCATCCTGTAATACCTTGAACAAAAACAGAATATTGGAGAAAAGTAGCTAATTATCCAGGACTATGGGGTTCAAGAATATCCAATACAGTGGGATTCAGTGACCAAGGGAGGCATTAGCCACACTGCATATTCACTTAGTCCCCCTCTGGCTGCTTTTATGAGCCAAGAAATCTGCAGCCAGGGTGGATCTGAAATTCATTTGTATTATGTTTTATATTATTCTTATTTATTTATGTAAGCCATCCTGAGGCCTTTGCTACAGGACAACATATAAATATTCTAAATAAATAAATAAATAAAAATAAGGGCAAGGATCCAGAACACATGCGGTGGCTCTCACTCCTTGAAAGATCCTGTTCACATCTTCAGGTTTTACAAATTGAAAAATATCCAATAACAATGAAGAAGCAAAAGCCAAAGTTTCATCCACCATCTGTAACAACTACAGCATCCAAGTTGGAGTTGATTCAAGAGACTTTACAAAATGCCAAGCAAATTGTTCACAGTAGGCTGTTGAAAGGTCTTCTTCCTCCTCTTGTGGGTTTGCATGTATGTGAGCATACTTAATAGCTGTATTTTGTATTACACTACTATTCTGGTGAGAGAAAAGTTAACAAACTTCATTTTTTCATTGAATAATGAGCAAGTACTTTTGTGCAAAGACCATAATAAGAACAATCTTGTGTAGGGCTGATGGGAGTAACAAGATCATTCTACCATTTCACCCCCAGCCTTGCTCTTTCATGCTGCTGGTGGTGGGAGAGATTTTACCAAGCAATTTAGACCAAAGGATCAATGTAGCTACCGTTTTCTCCCAGTAACACCAATGGTTAGTTGAAGCAGCTCCAGAGCTGGCATTGCTGGCAAGTCCAGGTAAGGACTATCTGGTGAAATCAAATTGACTTTGGATTCCACTCATGGAATGCCCCATTTTGGGGATATCTGCTATCAACAATGGGAGAATTTCTAATGGCATTGTTTTGCCCAAACAAGATCTGTGTGGGCTTTTATTGTGAGAGAGTGCCCCCAAGCCAACAGTATTCCTCTCTGACAAATAAGGTGAGCCAACAACACAGCATCCTACCCTCGACCATTCAGCCATCTGGGTTAGTACTGGGCTCTATAAGAGATGTTAATATAGCTTTTTATACAAAAGAATATTTATTCTTTAAGTATTAAATATGGCAAATCCAACACATTTTCTATCTTTTTCTCTAGTTTTCTTCCATGGAATCTGGCATACTTCTGTATCTGCAAGTTTGGGCCCTTGTGACCACATACAGAGCTACACTTACAGACGTAATATGTGCCTTCATCTTGATATTGCAGTAGAAATTGCTCAGAATGGGTGTACTTCATACTTCTTGGACAAGTGGGACTAATACCACATATATGTTTGACCCTTGCCTAACTTGGTTTCTTAAACAGCATGCCTAGGCATATGTAACTGGGCTTCAAAAGGCAGTCAATGATTCCCTGAAGCCCTAGTTAAAGAAACCTATAGAAATGTAAAGCACATCATCATCATCTTAACCCTGGTAATCTTAATTAACTATTGCCCCATATCCAGTCTTTCATTCCTCAGGAAGGTGCTCAGGCATATGGCTGCATTTCAGTTCCAGTTTAAAAAAAATACTGATTATTTGGCTCTATTTCAGTCTAGCTTACATACAAGTCACAAATCTGCCAACAATTCTAACCTCAGAAATAAAAATATGTATGGCCAATTTGACTATAACATCATGGCCATGCATCCACAGGCTCCACTTGTATTCCTTTGCAGTCAGTTAAGGTATATAGGATTATTGGAGCAATACCAAATTTCTTCCCTGGATGGAAGAGTGAAGCAGGTAACAGCACAATTGTTGATTTACTTGGGTCTGCAAGAACTCTGTGGTCTTAGAGGAAAAAATGTGAATTACTGGTTTAAAATTCCAAAGATCAGTGGCTAAATCCTAATTTTATCAACTTTTGTTTTCCTGTCCATACAACTGTAATTAGCAGAATGACTTCAGCTTCCCTATGGAAATGTTATTTAATTTTTGGTAAAACTAAATGTAAGCCCACCTGTCATTTTCAAGTACAAACAAATTTGAAGTTTTGTCTAATTTATACTTCCAGTTGACCTTTAAAATATGGTTGACTTTACCAACACATTTCCATGTTAAGTGACCTCATGTGGATGTACTGTGCCTTTTTACATATTATTTGGTTTACTGTAGCCAACTGGCAAACAAGAACTCTTAGAAGTTGATTCATAGTTTGGAAAATTACTTTTAAATATACCAGACCCATTCTCCCTTAAAAATCCTGCATAAAATCTGGTGAGGATTGCAATAAATTTGAAATAAAGAGCTTCTCTCTCTCTCTCTCTCTCTCTCTCTCTCTCTCTCTCTCTCTCTCTCTCTCGCGCGCACACACACACACACACACACACACACACACACTTACTGTTTCCAGTGCTGTTATCCGCTCCTGCAAATAAAGAGAACATTATGAGCTATAAACATAAACACACACTTATACAATACTTCATAATGAAAACGTAATAAATTAATAAACAAATAATGCAAGTTAAGGTTTCCCAGGATTGCACGACCTGTAGTGTTTTTTATTTTATTAAATTTAGTGTTATCATAACCCTAACCCATGGTTGTGATAACATGCTGATGAAGCTGGATTCCTCTCTTTTCTCACATTGCTATGATGAGATCAGAAGCATTTCTATAGACTTTGAAGACTCACCTGTTTTTGTTGCCCATCCTATAAGTTTGGGCATGATTCTCATTGGTAACTTTTGTTTTTATTGATTTCAATTGGTAATCTCCATTTTTATGGATTGAACTGGATTTTTAACATTGATTTTATTATATCCACTTAATGTGGTTTTATTTTATCAAAAGCAGCCTGGAAGTACTTCTGGAAAGTTAAATTATGCAATGCCTTAGAACAGACACAAAGCTTAACTATGGTTAGTGGAAACTGTGGCTTGCTAACTTAACCGTACTTGAGACGTCAAATTTACATTGAAATATGTTCAAGCTAAGTCATGTCCCTGGAAGCTAGATACAATGTCTTGATTATCACCTGGCAAGCAAAGGTCAGAGAGCTGAGGAAAGTGCCTTGTCATGAAAAGGGAATGGTGAAAGCTTTTCTCTTCAAGGGTTGGTTAACAGCCCTACCCAGCCTACCCAACTCACACCTCTTAGACCTGTACGCAGAACCAAATGCAATTTGTGAATGGAAACTGGTACACATTCAGCTTGCATTGCAATTCACAAAAAATGCATTTGACAACATACGTACATTTGAAAATGAGCAAAGAATAATCCTCACATTTCCAAAACACACACAAACATGCTTCATGGAATGGATGCATGTGTTCAAAATGTGTATTTTTAAAATGCATACATTAATGCATTAATTAAGGAAAAGGGCACACATTTTCATAATTGTTAAATTATGAAGTTCAATTTTAATGTGCTAGACTTCAAAAAACTGACAATCTTGAGACCGACTGACAGTTTTGTCTATTTCTAGTTTGTTCAGTGTACAGTCAAAGTAGAACACAGTTTGCAAATCCATTTTAAACAACTCGCTTCTCACCCTGGCTGGGCCTAGCGTTAACCCTGCTTTCAGAAATGAGATGGAAAACTGAATCATTGCTAGGTCAAATTATGATAAAGAATTGTCTGTTTTTCAATTTGTCATTAAATAAATGCTACAGCAACACCTTAACTCTTGCTGATTTTTTCCCTTTGCTACTGAAATCTTGTCAGGAAATCTTCTCCTGATCCCACCCCACCCTCAGCATACCTATACACACATATAACGCACACATCTGAATTGTTAGTCTCATGAGCTGTGTACCTGAACATACCAATTCGTTATTTTTAGGTTTGCTATCATTCCAATCTATTCCATTTACTTATTTCATTCGGTGAAGAAAGGGCAATATTTCCAGTTCACTTTCATTTTATCAATCATCCTTTTTATACCATTACAAAAGCTACTGCTACTGCTGTATAAATTCACAGAGAACCAGGCCTGCAGTCATTGTACTCTGGAGGTAGGAATCTCCATAAAAAAGCATGAAAACTTGGGAACACAGGGTTGTTGTTGTGGGGATAAGAGCAGGTGGAATAGAATGGAGTACACCGCTATGAGTTCATAAGCAAAAAGTGGGATAGAAAGCCAATAAATAAACAAACACTTATAGGAGTTCTATGAGATTAATGAGTTCTGTGTGCTAGGATGAGTTATCATGTGATCAAGGACAAAAGGGGACCATTGTAACACATTTGGTGTGAACCAAATGGTTTAGAATTCAAATTTCAACCATCAAACGGTTAAAATGGTTTAGAATTCAATCATTAAGAACATCCAATTTGATTGTCTTTCAAAACAGAACATACAGAACTGTTAATGCATTTGGAAAGAAAGAATGGCTCTGAGGATGAGGAAGTCTTAACTTTGGTTTGATGATCTACTGAGATGGAAGAGCTGATGTTCACAAATTACATACTTAGATATGTAGGATTTATCTTCGGACAGCACATTATTTCTCTCAATCTGAAAGTTGTATACAAGAGAGCCAGTGTGGTGTAGTGGTTAAGAGCATGGGACTGGGACTCAGAGGATCTGGGTTCGAGTCCCCGCTCGGCCATGGAGCCAACTGGGTGACTTTGGGCCAGTCACAGTCTCTCAGCCCAACCTACCTCACAGGGTTGTTGTTGTGGGGATAAGATGGAGGAGGAGAGATAATGTAAGCTGCCTTGAGCCCTTTGTAGGAAAAAGGCAGGATATAAATAAAAAAAAATAAAAAAAATTATTACATCTCCTTAATGTGTAAAGCTGTCAACTAATAGATGTGATTACTGATAAAGGAATCTGAATTAATGAGATTTTATAATCCATACCCCTATTTCTTTGATAAATCCAAACTCATTATCAAAGAAAGATTTAAAATATTAAAAATAAAATCTGTGCCTAATATTAGTTACTTTAAGCCTACTGTGGGTTCTCCTTCCTTTCACAGGATGCTTGGGTGGGAGTGTTAAAGTTAGTTATGTTTCCTATTGCAAAGAGAGAATGTGGGTAGATTTACAGACTACTCTTTGGTCACGAATGCTCATCCTACAGAGTAGGCGACCATGGGATTTATAAAGTGGGTTGGTATCTGCTTAAACACAACTCCATATATTACAGTAATTCAGCCACTGAGTCACATTTGCTTTTTAGAATGATTTCAGGCATTCTAATTTAGGGCACACATTAAATAAGATAATTCCTGATTATGCAGCAATGTAAATGCACTAACGTATAATGCTGATTTAATATAATGAGGTTAACCAAGCATTTCCTTTTGAGCAGGAAAGGAAGTAAGTAAGATTATGGTAGGAAGCAAGATTTCTGCTGGAAGAGCCCTTTGTCGTTGTATGTGAGTTCATGTTAAAAAAGCAGTGGGAGGAGTACTGTGGTAGCTTCTAGATGAACAGATACACTGTGTTATATTGGTTAGTCTTCAAGGTGACACAAAGAAATCTTGTTGCCATAGTAAACTGTGTTATCATATACATATTTGGACTTTGTAGACTGATGGCTGCCTTTTACATTTCATGAACTTTTGACCTCCTTCTTTTCTGTTTTTCTCTGAGGAGCCATGCGTGCATATCAACCAGTGGAAAATAACACTTCTGTACATCTTACATAAAGAGCTATACATAGTGAAACTATACCATTGCTAAATATGAATAGGCCTATAATCTAATGGATTCCATGGTGATCTACATAGAAAAATGAATTGGCTTATGATTGGATTATAAGAGAACAGAAAAGGAAACTGGTCTGTTCAAGTGCCAGAAAGCTTTAAAATGAAAACCAACAACAAATCCAAAGAAAAGTTCAGGGAGAGGATAGATTGGAACCAGAAATCAGACTGAATACAAGAGGGGGTCAGAAATGATCAAGGCATGGCCTAAACGTTTGGAGCCAAACACAGAAAAATTGCAGAAGCAACATCAGTACCCACACCACAGCTGGGTCAGAAGATCAATCTGCAAAAGCCCTCTCCTGGCACCCCAAAAAGCACATATGGGCTATATGTGGACACAGGACCACAGACGCTAGCCTCACCCCAATGCCCCTGTGTGTGTCAGGCTTGATTCCTGAACAATTACAGTTACTTTGATGGGATGCATTAATAAATAATTGTCCTATATACTGTAATACTATAATACTATAATACATAAAAGAGCAGAAGCACATGCGCACCTCACTGCTAATGTGGTACAGTATGAAAATAACCTCTATTTACATTCAACTGAATGAGACTAGAACTTTCCATTCACACCCCCTTGCTCTATGCAGTTGTCCGGGCATCTTTCAAAAGCCCAGACACTTTCTCTCTCCCTTGGCAAGGTCCTATGCTCCATCCATTAGCATCACTAGTTATCTTTTGGTAGTGTAACACACAATATGGATGCCAGGTTCTTCCACACCTTGGCTGAATTTAAGCTAAAGCCCAGTAAGACTTAATACAGATAGGGAATTTAACATCTGATTGTATCTTATATGTTTTGTTTTTACATCTGATACACTTTATTTTGGGAGAAATAATTTGGGTTCAGTCAGTATATATGGTAGTTTCCCCCTAAGGAAAATAACAGAGTCTTTTGCCTGCATTGGTAAGCCTGACTCAGTAAGAGACAAGAAAAGGTTCAGGAGAAGCCAAAACTGCATATCTCTATCATTTGCCCCATTACCACGGAAAGAAGAGAACAGCTAGGTGGACCAATTATTGTCATACACTTCCCCACTTCTTTTAGTAAAAGGTTTGTCATGAGATCAGAGGAACAGAGAGAAAATAAACACAGTGGGAGCAAGACTTTCAAGGCATGCAGGACAACTGCTAAAACTGCACCAAAGAAAAAGTGCAGTCCAAGAATAGTTCTGCTACCAAGGACTGGACATTTTAGATGATATTCATTCACAGGGTTGTCCTAAGTTGCGGATTACATGATGGCCTGTAACAACAACTCACATCTACAGTTAGGAAACAAGCATTCTTATTAAGGCACAGGTCTGGGGAGCAGCAAGGGAATCCTGGATGCTAGCATGCATAGATAAGAGTGATACCAGGTGCTGTACACATGAAATCCACACAAGTGCCTATATGGAAGACATTTTCATGTAGTGTAAGCCTGTATGACACAGGGTACCAACTATATGCCATAGCCTGCATGATACTGGAAAACCACATTGATGGAGGGTTTATTGATTCCTTGCCTGGCATGCTTTGTGGGCTGTTTGTTCAGTGGGTCTTGCTGTGGGTCTTTCTGCTATCAGAGGCATGTCAGGCCAGCATGAAGAACAAGGCCTGAAGTGCTGAACACCAAGATTCTGTAACACTCTGCTGGCAGCCAAAACTTACAAACCACAATACAGTCTAGCTGCCATTGTACCATCACTTTCAA